GTATTTATTAATAAATTAATTCATGCACTAATATGTATTTTATTTATATGTGTATGTAGACATACATAATCTATTTTGTGAAACACAGGAAAATTGAAATAAAAAGACATTGGGTAAAAATAAAGATAAGCAGAAGTTCTAAGATGTTCTTTCTGAGCATCTGTGGACCACTTTGTCCCCCTCTTCCCCTTCGTCGGAGGAGCTGAGTTTAGTCTGAAAAGAATAAGTTTTTAGCATCGTCACTTTAATTGTTAGAGCCTCTTGTCTTTATTTCTGGTGCTTTGAATCTTGTTCAGATTTAAACCTCCATTCATCTCTGTGCCTTTTTTTCTTGCCACACACTTTTTGTTTGTTTGTCTGTTTGTACAATCTGTTAGCCGGGGTTCTCTGGAGAAACAAAATTAAATATTCTGAGAGAGAGAGAGAAAAATTAAGGTTTATTTTAAGGAACTGGCTCATGTGATTGTGGGAACTGACAAATCCAAAATCTGCAGGGCTGGCCAAAGGCTGGAAACACAGCTGGAATTGTATTCTGGAAGTAGAATGCCTTCTCCTTCAACTGATTGGATGAGGCCCACCCACATTATGGAGGGTAATCTGCTTTTCTCAGTCTACTGATTTAAACGTTATCACATCTAAAAAGTACCTTAACAGCATCATCTAGACTGATGTTTGACCAAATGACTGGGCACCGTAGCCTAGCCATGATGACATGCAAAATTAACCATCCCACACCCTTACAATTTTTCTGTTGGAAATGTTGTAGCAGCCTTCTCGCATGTCTTCCACCCTCCAGTGCCAAATACTTCCGTTCATCCCCATTCTGCTGAAAGGACTTTTGAAGGAAAGACATCAGTGTAGGGGAGTTTGATTCATTCTAAGCAGCATAAATAGTAATAATATTCACTACAATAAGATATTGCTTTAGTGTTTCCCAAAACATAGGTTAAAATTTAAATCTCTGTGCACTCTGAACCCCTCTAATTTTCCAGCTGCATCTCTCTTGTCACTGCTGGTCTTATGTCCCCTCTTGTCACCCCCAAAGTACTCTTAGTTCTCCACGTGCACTGATGATTTTCCTGTCTCTGTGGCTTTGCTTTATGAAACAGAACCGACACTAGTGTAAGGCAGAATATAAGAGGACAGGAGTAAAGAAGGGGCTGTGGGAGAGCGGAAGTGGATGTGAATAAGCTGAGCTGTTCAGATCTGAAGAGCCCTCATTAAGCTGTGGAGAAAGGAGAGGGTGAGGTGGACGGTGTTAGGGGCTGCATTGTGTCCCCCTACCCCCAACCAGTTCACATGCTGAATCTTAACTCCCAGTGCATCAGAATGGGTCTGCGTTTGGAGACAGAATCTTTATGGAGATAATTAAGCTAAAATGAGGCCATTAGGGCAGATCCTAATCCAGGTGTCCTTATAAGAAGAGGACACCTGGACCCAAACACGCACAGAAGGATGATGTGAGCCCCAGGGAGAGGCAGCCGTCTGCAAGCCAATGAGAGAGAGCTCAGGAGAAATCATCCCTGATCACACTTTGGTCTTGGATCGATGCCCCTAGATCTTTGAGAAAGTGCATTTCTGTGGTTTAAGCCACGTAGTCTGTGGCACTTTGTCACGGCAGCAAACTAACACAGCTGGAGTGAGGAAGGGCTCAGGGAGGACAGAGTGAGTTAAAGGCGAGAGGCAGCAGAGATGCAGAGTGTACTTATGGCTGTGGACCGAGCATCCTGGTCACTGCTGCTGGGTTGCAGCTGGTTTCCAGGATGTGCTGGAAACTTGCCTGGGACTGGAATTGACCATCCTCTAGGGGTGTGGAAAGGGGATCTCTGATGATGTTTTGTTTGGTCTTATGAGAGAGAAGGCAAGTCCAAGAGAAGGCGGTTTCTCAGTTAAGTACTAGATCAGTGTAGTTTTTAAAGTTTGGGTTCGTTGTGGGCTGTGGGGGAGGAATCTCCTTTGCTCCTGGACCGTCAAGTCTCAGGTCCCTATTTAAGACCCAGATGGCAGAATGAACAACAGGTGGTAGAGATTCCCTTGATGTTTCTGTTTTGTGTTATTGCTCTAGTCACACAAAGGTCACAGTGAGCTTCTGTTAGCCTTTTTAGCTTGGGTTGATGGAAGTGCCAGCATTTCCCTTAATTTTTCTTTTTAAAAAAATAGATTGTATTTTTTAGAACGGTTTTAAATTTGCAGGAAAGTTGTGGAGACAGCATGGAAAATTCCCAACTAACCCCACCCGGTTTCCCCTGTTACTAACATCTGACGTTAGTTATAGTTGGTGGACGAATAGTGATACACTAAGTCCTTATTTTGTCCAGTTTCCTTACTTTTTACCTAACGTCCTTTTTCTGTTCCGAGATCCGACCTGTGGCACCACGTTCCTCAGTGCTCACGTCTCCCTCTTGGCTGTGACATTTTCTCAGCTTTCTTTGTTCTTGATGAGCTTGACGGCTGTGGGAAGGACTGGCCAGGTGCTCTGTAGAATGTCCCTCTACTGGGATTTGTCTGACGTTTTCCTCATGGTTACTGGGGTCCCAGGATATTGGGAGGAAGACCACACAGGTCAGACGTCATTTTTATCACATCGTGTCCAGGGTGCAGATGTCAGCATGTCTGATGCCCATGGTCTTGATCACCTGGCTTGGGTCCTGTGGCCGTGTTTCCCCACTGTCAAGGTTCTCGTCCAGGCTGTACCCTTGGAAACGAAATCACCATGTGCAGCACACACTTATGGAGTGGGGACCCTTCATTAAAAAAAACAACAACAACATAGTTCTGTATTTTATTATCAATCTTCCTTGGTTTTATTCGATTTTGTAATTAGCCAAAAAACGTTTTACTGTATTACTTGACTTTAAAGCCACTTACTTCCAGCTCTTCATGCAAAACGAATGAGGGTTTCTCCATCCTTCCAGCCTCCTCTTGTGGTGCATTCCAGGCGGTTAGGAATGGATCTGATAAAGGGGCAGACACTCTTCTTTACTTTTACTTTCCCACAGATGGCATGGCTCTGTGGTTACATGCCCAGTTCCGACGTGGGGTAGCGGGGGTTCCACCCCACGAGAAGTTCTCTGACACCGGTTGTGTGTTCTGCCGTTCAACTCAGTTCTCACAGTCTACCTAGAGGCGGCATCAGGCCCCACGGGCTCAAGGCTCAGTGCTACAAGACTGCCCTCCTCCCCCTACTTCAGAAGCCAGTCACAAGTCCTGGTTGTCACCTGTGCTTCTGAGGGACTCATCATAGTTAGAAGGTTACAAAGACCCCCTCCTTGGGTTAGAGTAACTGGCTAGTGCAGCTCACAGAGCTCAGAGAAACATTGTACTTCCTAGGTCACCACTTTATTGTGAAAGAATACATCTTAGGAGCAGCCAGATGGAGGAGAGCCAGGGCAAGGCATGGGGAAAGGTGGTGAGGCTCCCAGGCCCTTTCCAAGTGCACCGCTCTCCCCAAATCTCCACGTGTTCACCAGCTGGGAAGCTCCGGGACCCTCAATTTTTTAAACACAAAAACATGTGAAGTAACTTTTGAAGAGCAGGTGTGATCAGGGATGTTGCTGAATTACAAGGAGTGGCAAAAAAACCCACAAAAATCCCCGAATAGGCTTTTTTGGTTTGTTTCACAGAAAAAAAAAGAAAGAAAGAAAAAAGAAAGAAAGAAAAAGAACAAAACTCCATACTGTCACTATGAGAAGCAAGCAAAGTGTTGATTTGAACTTTGCAATTTGTCAAATAAAAATAGATTTCGACCTTGGGCTTTTGTTGTTGATTTAATTAAGGCAATCCATTCTTATCTGTACCACTGTACACTTATCTGTACCACTGGGACTCCACAGTGATTGTTGCAGCCAGCAAAGGAAAGATTAAATGGATCTGTCTTTCATTATTAATTGAGAGGTAACAGAACATCGCTTCCTTAAAGGCAGTGCCTTGACGGCTGCACTTACTGGGCGGTCGGAGTCCACGTGGGCTATTCATAGCCTGACCTACCCCGGGTTACGGTTTCTGGTATAGGCAGAGCTCTCATTACCTCCCTCTAGTGGCCAGCTCCAGAATCTTCAGTCCAGTTGGACAAATTCAGCAGGAGAAATTTCAAATACATGGCAATCCTCCCGACAATTTTCCTTAATATTTTAATACGGATGCTAAAATGACAGGGTGATTGAATTTTAGTATGTCCTTTTGGATTAAAACTAATTTTTAAGTGAGGCTGTGTTTTAAGGTGGTGTGTCATGATGACTTGATTAAAGCTGAAGTGGTGAAGATGAGTGTTCTAGGCAGGTTTACCTGGCTGTCGTTATACTGAGACCCTCCGTGGCCGTTTGATTTTAACCAGGGAATTGAATTTGGCTTCTCGCGAGTGTTTTATCAGCGCTGTGGGAGCAAGTGCATATTCCAGATAAACTTGAAAGCTGCGGAGTTTTATGCGGCTAGGCGTGAGGGAGTTCTCTAGAGCATTGTTCGTCATTCCTTCACAGATAGCGTTTTATCTCCAGGGCAGGAAGAGCGCTGCATCAGCATCCATTACGTTACCCTGCTGTAAGAAGGTGCAGCACTTTTTCTAGGATGCTATCTCTGGATAGTTCTGAGTTGAAATCGTTCACAGAATTCGAGACTGGCTTTGTATTATCCTTGATGGAAGCACTGGGCCACAGGGTACTGGAGTACGCGGGTCCTTAGCCTCTGCGTGAGTGAGCCAGAGGGGATGGCGTTTAAGGAAGGGCGACTGACTCAGTGTGAAACCTGAGAGCCCCCTGTGATGTGCTCCTGATGAACGCTAAGGCAGGCCTTGAGAGGATGTGATCCGTTAAGCCCCGCTTCTGCTCGGAAACGAGAAGGAAGGAATTCATGCAGAGAGCCAGTGTTGAACCAGCAGTCTCTTTGTGTCTATTTGTGATACTCCTGTTGCGTATGGTACCATGTTGATACGGTCAAGGTCAAGGGGAAGCTGATGCATCTTTACATGAAGTGACAAGCTCACGTGTCTGTCCTTGCTCACCCAGCTCCACCTGATCCACTGGAACGCCACCCTGTTTGGCAGTATTGATGAGGCTGTGGGGAAGCCCCATGGAATTGCCATCATCGCTCTGTTTGTTCAGGTAAGTGGCCCCCGGCAGTGCTTGTTACGTTGTTCAGAGATGCTCATTTCTAACTCACTTTGCAGAAATGCTTCTTGTTCTCTCTCCATTTTACGACCTAGAGGTGACATTAAACACTTTTACAGGGAACTGTTGATATCTTAAAAATAGAAAACTTGACCGTTACGGGTCACGTCTGAGCAGCCACATTCATCGGTAGAAAATGGTTCATTTGCTTATTGGAAACTTTTCTGCAGAGTGACATTCAGGGTCTTTATGAAATGATTTAGAAAATGTCTTCTGAAGACGGAGTTCATTTTATTAATGAAAATGAATTTCAGAGAATATTTTTGGACCCTGGCTTACTGCAAAAATCTAAGACAAATCAATACTATAATCATGTAGTAGATTCTTTTCGCTATCTGTTATTATAATTTTCACTCTAAGGTGATTCGAAGTGCCTCATAGAAAACACTGATAAAATAAGACCGGCAAAGACCTTGGCGGATATAGACAATATAAAGTTGAGATCTGAGCCCCTTGGTGGGCAAAGAGTAGTA